ACAGAAAGGACTTGCACTTCCCAGAATCTCAGGACTGTGCAGTGTAAAAGTCATAATAAGAGAGAGTTTGGAGAATGAATGCTCTAACTGTACAGTTGCTTTCTACTTAAACTCAGGTCCTTGATAGTTGGACTTAGTTTAAAATACAATATAGTAAGTAGGCTGAAAGTGCCTTTAAAGCAGAAATGAGAGTTTCCACTCATCCACACTAATGTAATTCTCTGAAGAATTATCAGTTGGCACCTGTGTGCCCCCCAAAAGGTAGAGTCAGACTCTGGTAAACAGATCAGAAGTCTCTGAGTCCCAGAGGAACTTAGGGCTGTAGTTTACCCAATTCTGTTGTGACAAGATGAGTGCAGCTCTTATGATCCAAATTGTAGTAGTGTAGATAATGAAAGAGAAGTAGACAAATGTGGAGTGATCCTGTTCCCACAAACCACTCTGTGAGGAAAAAAAAATCCCTATACTTGTGTATCAGATGGATAGCATTGATTGCTGTCATAGAAAAACATCAGATCTGAGGTTATATAAAGTATCTTTAAATAGAGTCAAGCTCAAGTCCTGGGGACTTCATAAACACATTCATGTAATTTTATTGGCAAGAATATAAAATTGCTTTGTCATTGCTTCCTTTGGGGATGTTTATTCAACTTCCAAGTCTAGTGGACAGCCCAGGTACTCCCTGGGGATCTCCCAGGCAAGTCCAACCCTGCTTAGCTTCTCAGCCCAGACAAGGTTGGCCTGGTGTTGCCACCTGCCAAGTAGGTTTTTATTCTAGTGCTAACTTTATAAGGGTAGAAAATACTACATTGGCTTTGAATGGCTAGAGATTAAGTTTTACACATATGTGAATGCCTTTTTACTGAGCTTTCTTATGAATAGCATTTCCCCTGAGATCACTATGTACAGATATAACAACTCTTCAAGAGGATTTGCTAGAATCTTGAAGTCTGTGTGTAGCATCTACTTGGGCTTCAACAGTTTAATATTCGGCTGGCTTCTTACACATTTTAAAAGCAATACATAGCATATGCAGGTTGAGTTGGCTTCCATATTTGGCATGTATTACAACGTAGTGGAGACTGTACCCTTAAGATGAGGCATACACATCTTGTATTTGATAAACATTGGCTTTGCTGAAATAGCTAAGTTACCAGGCTGGTTACTACAATGTAATTTCCAAAAATCAAGACAAACGCATAGCGTAAAGTATTTAAAGCATAAAACAGGATGTGGAGGCCAGATAAATACATCAGTACAAGCAATTGCTACTTAAACAATCTATTAGGAAAAGTAGACAGACCACAGGGCACATGTAATGGTCACTGGGACATATAGGCACAGAGAAAAGAGAACCAATTTCCAGTGCAAAATCATGCTAAACATAAGGGGGGTAGCAATGGGGAGACTTCTACCTGCCCCCCCTTTTAAAACCTTGGAGTCAAATAGTTGCTGCTTTGATGACTTTGACAAAAGCATCAGCTGTAGGAGAAACATCTGTAATTCAAAACAGTGAACCATTATCCAGTGCAGACTAAAACTCAGAAATGATTCATACTGGCATACTGAGTCGCAAGAGGAAAAGGGCAAAGCAGCTGACTTGTGTTCTCACTGACGAAACCTAGTTTTCATATCATACAGCTGACATGGCAAGTCTGTGCCTGGCTTGTACCATTGCAAGGAGGTTTTGGTGGTTAAAAGAAAAAAGAAAAGCTTGGAGCAGCTTTTAAAAGTGCTACAGTGGATTGACTCTTTCAGGTAAGAAGCCTCTGTTGGCTTCTTTGCTTCCCAGGCCTTTAAGAGGACAGAAACTAGACAGTCCCAAAGGGTGTGTGTATGTGTATCCTCCGAAATATTTGTTTTATGAGGCCATTATTTATTCCAGTTTGAAGACAGTGTGCATCACTTCAGATTCTGTTTTTTTAATAGTTAATGGATTTGTCCAGTTATTGTATCTTCAGTAATAATGTATGTTGTGTTCTACAGCAGAGGTGAAGGTTGTGACAAATCAGTCATTAGGGGGTGCCTTTGCATCAAATCATGGTATTCTCACATTCTCTTGCTGCTACTGCTAAAAAAGGAATTACGTGCAAATTTAAAGAAGCATGATTATTGTGCTGCATAAGTTTATGTATGCTCTGAGAGGCATAAATGTGCCTCTCTGAAGCAAAACTGACCAGGGGTAAGTGTAGAGGGAGAAAAAGGCTCTTCTGACTGCAAAATACACAAAAAGGAATATGATACAATATGCAAATTAATACGGCAACCAAGAGAAGTGGGATCATTTAACAGATCCAATGACAATCAGCACAATTATTGTCAAAGCCTCAGCTGTGATAAAGGAAGCTGACAGCGAAATAGAGGAGATGGCAGAGTTTAGCACCTCGAAGGTTTAAAGGCAAGAAGCAGGGTTCCAGAGAAACCCTCCAAGTGAACGTATTGTAGTTTTCACAAGACATGGATGGTGCTCTCGGGAAAGACACGTCACTCAAGGTCTTTTGGCATGCCGACATCCCTTTCAGAGCTTCAGGGATACATAAATCTGACACTTCAAGCTGAAATGACACACAGCATGAACAGCCAAACCTATGAACAGTGGCAAATGTAACGGCAAGCTACTTTCTCTCCTTTATTACTGCATCTTAATTAGCCAAACAAAATTTGCCAGTAAAAAAAGATTCATCACACAGTACTTTATACATATATTGTAAGCAACCAAGCATTCACAGCTGCAAAAGTAACATACTCCTAAGCATTGCTCCAATATGACAGCTCCATTGGTTTTAAATACTGTACAGAATCAAGTCTATACATTTATTTTTGTAATATTTCTTTCCCCTTCCCTCCCCAGCACTTAACAGATAGAGATTTTAATTTATACATCACAATCATGTGGCCCATCTCAAGACTAACAATATGCCTCATGCTTTGGCTTCTTGGTGTGTATGTATAAGCATCTGTCTCTTGGACAGTCTCTTCACTCTTGATTACAGACATACACCCAAAAAAGTTACACGGTTGCAATACGCCCAGTGGCAACTGCATAATCTAGAGCTTCACATTATCCAATAGCTAAGGGGGAGAGACGGGATGTAAACTTCTGTGCATGCCTCTGGTAAGGGCGAAGAACAGCAAGGGTAAAGGGACAGTGCTTGATAATGCAAAAGGTGTCAGCAGGTTCCAAGGAGGAAAGAATAAGCAAAATCTTCTCATGTTAGAAAGCTAGGATTTCAGGCAAAGTTCTTCATTGTATTTCGAGAAAGGTGGCTCTCCTGTAGCTTGCGTAATTACTTTTTCATGACTCTCGCCTTATTAAAACATCTCTCAAAACCAGCTGGGCAGTTACATTATTACAACTTGGAAAAAGGCAGACTTTTTAAATGGGTCATCACATTAGGATAGGCGGCTGGTTAATTCTCTCTGGGGGAGATGAGGTATCATTACCTTATCTGCATAAGAAATGTGACAACACATCAGAACAGAGAACACTCACCGTTTGCCCTTCTACACAATTAACAGAGAGCCTGCTAATGCAGGCAACAGGCCCTCTTGCCAAATTCCTCTCTTGCCACTATTGTTGACCTCATACAATGACTATCAATTTAACTATTCTGCATTTTTATTAAGCTGGCCTCTCTTCTGACCCATAATTGCCTGGGCCACAATAGCTTGCATGCTGCAAGTTCTTAAAACAGAAACCACTATTTCTTCAATCTTAATCTGCAATACTAAAATAACTCATTCACTACATTCCAAGTCAACACAAGACTCGCGTCATCTTCCTCAATATTCTCCAAGTAGATTTTTCTCCTGGAAGGATGACTGAGAGGGATATCTAGGTCATTATCAGAGTAGGAATAATAAGGGTAAATATGTGTGAAGCCATGCAAAGATGGAGGAAACGCCAAATGCAAAATAGACTATAATTCTGTTCTGAATGCAGGAATGTGGACAACTAACCAACTGAAATTTGTTGGAAGAATGCAGTTTCACTCTCTGCAACCACTGCTTTGTCACAATGCCATTCCTGGAAACAGCTAAAGCAAATTATACATAATTTGGGAACCATGAATAACATTAATGAAAAGGATATGATTTTATTTAAGATGCTAGACCCACTGTCTACCAGAATGTAGACTTTGTTGCTGCAGAGTTGATATGAATCCATGGAGATAAAGAGTCAGGCAGAGTTGCCACTTTGCAAGCACATAGGTGAAAGTGGAAATTCAGAAATATGGTTTGCACCATGCGATTTTTCGAGTAGCATCCTGAGGTACCTTAGTGTTCATAGTTGAGTTAATAGTAGAATGTTCATGTATCTCAGGGAACAGTGGACTATGCTATATGCACTATTCCCCTTCAAGGCAAAGTGGAACAAGATATGCTATTCAGAAAAAAAATTGTACACTTAAGACAGGCTGAAGGTTCCAAGCACTCACTTCATCAAGGACAGCTTGCCTAGCGCTTACTTGCTGCCTCATGGTTAAGAGGTTAAGCAATCAAGAGATTAAGCAAACTGCTTACATTTATCACTTGGTGGCTTTCGTACAGCAAGTCCCCTTAGCTCTAACAGACATAGTCAACAGTGAAAACAACTAAGAATGGTGCAGAGCAGAAACGTGGGCTATTCATTTCCTTCTAGACTTTAGTGAAGTTAGATCAGAAGGTAGAAGAACACTACAGTATTACATTTTCCCACTAGATACTGAATAAGGATCTTCCAGGATTCAATCAAAAGCAGTCCCCACTGTCAGCAATATCCACAGCACCCAAGAACTCAAACAGGGAAGGAGGAGTCACTTCACTGAGTAGAAGCTGAGAAGATCCAATCCCAACTTCACTTAAGTCCTGAAATGGAAAGATCACAGCACCTCTCTTCACAGAATCAAGCCCCAGGGGGGAACATCATTTGTGTGTAGAGGGGTGGGGGTGGGGGGAGTGAGTGTGCATGTGCTCAATCATCCTGTGCATCTGGAATGTGAAGAAAAAGACAGCCTAAAATGAGTTATGGCATTCTGCTTCTCTATAACAAACCAAGCCAAGGAGGAAGGGGTGCAGTGAGACAGTCTATTTATTGTTAACAACTTTTGCTAGGTTCTTCCTCCCTGTTTCCCCCTTTTTTCTGTGTGCCTGTCTGTCCCTAACCTGATTTTTTATTTATCTTCTGTCCACTCTGGGATACTGGCCTCTACTAAGGCAGCCCGGTACTGCTGCAAGACACCACGGATGCTCTTTATGAACCCTTTAGACAATGGAAAGAGGGGGAACCCAATATCAGGGTAGCCGCTCCTCTCAGGGAGAAAGCTCCTGTAGCTCTTTCTCCTTTTCTTTGGTTTCACACTTGGCTGAACAGCAGAGTCCTGAGCGGCTTTACCCTCATCTGTTACGTCTCTGACAGAATGCGCTTCTCTGGCCTGGCCCATACTCTCAGAGTCTGAACACTGATGGGTGTCACTAGCAGCCAGTGTTGACATTCCACAACCAGAGTCTTCCAGCTCCTCCTTGCCATCAGAGAGTTGGCCAGCTGCTGCCGCAGCCCCTAACTCTTGCTCTCCCAATGGCCCCATACTGTCTACAGGACTCTCAGCCAGAATGTCTCCTGCTGAATGCACAAAGGAAGACTCTGCCAGACCGGCGTGATCATGACTCCTTTCCACCAGTTCATTTGTCTCCACCCAGGACTCAATACGGTGGACCAGGCGCCAACCATTACAGCAGAAATGCTCATAGATCTCCTGCTCAAAGACTTCTACGGGCTTGCGCAGCAGTTGCATCATTGACTGCACCACACGGATCAAAGCCATCTCATTGTAGCATCGGCTGTTTTCATAGCCCTCTTGTAAGCCCCGGTCACTGTCAAAACCAGCCTCATTGTAATAAGGCTCATTGACTAGGATAAGCCCTAGTAGTAAAAAAAAAAAAAAAAAAAGGGGGGGGGGGGG